GACGCGTGCAGGAAGGGACGGCGTACGTGGGTGAGAAGACCAAGCAGGCAGGGGAGGCCATCAAGAGCAAGGCGCAGGAGGCCGGAAGCGGCCGAGAAGGCGGCGCCGCCGCAGCCGGCCGGACATGATGAGTCACCAAATATCAATAAAAAATAAAAAATGGAGGGCTAGTAGTTGTGAATTAGTTTGTTGTCTTTTATGTAGAGGCTGTGGTGGTTAATCGGTGAATATTTGTGGAATTTATGGGAATATTGCTGGTGTTGTCTGTTTTTTTTGTGTTTCTTGCTCTTCATTCATAAGAACTAAGGATGACAAATGTCTATAAGTGTGAAGTGCAGGATTGCAAGTTGGTTGAGTGAGTCTGAGTCAATTTAAACGAGATGAACTTAGATTCATGCAGACACTACTCGAGTCAAACTCAACTAAACATAAGACTATGACTCGATTAAGACACTAGACTTGAATCAGACTTGACCATAAGACACGATTAAGACACTAGACTCGAATCAGACTTCACCATAAGACACTAGACCTGAGTCGAACTTAGACATGGCCTGGCCAAAACCCGGGCCGGGTTGGGGCCGGCTAGACTCCAAACACAGACCCGAACCCAGAATGGACCTATACTTGCGTCGGGCCTCGGCCAGGCCTGGCTGCCGGGATCCAAAACACTGACCCAGACCCGGCACGGACCTATACTCGTGCCGGGTCAATGTCCAGTTGAACGGGCTAGGTTTGTGTTCGGGCCGGGTCCGTCATTTTTTTAAAACCAATAGAAAAAAAAAAATTTAGAAAAAGTGGGTCATCGATAAAATTGATGACCCTGAAACGGCCCGTCTGAAATCCGGTCTGGTCCGGGACACGTGGTCAATGGGTTTGACCGTGCCAGACCGCCCTTGGCCATGTCTAGTGGAACTCGGAACATACGATACTAGATTCGGTCAACATCCCTATATATTAACTTATAAGGTACATTTTCATTCAAAACACAATATAAATTCTTTTTATCTAAAAACATGTAAATACATTTTCATTTACAAAGCATAATAAATTATTTCGCTTAGAGCACCCACAATGCTTTGGGTTTCTTAGAAAAAAGTTACATGCCATGTAAGAAATAGACCTAGTCTATAAAAAAGTGTTCTCCAATGCAATTAAAAGTGGACCT